TTCCACCAATTTCCCTTAAGATCTTTTGCTCTTTTTGAGTGCTTTCAACCAGACTCCAAATTAATGCTGGTCCCCAATCACAGGGAACTCTCCTATTGGGGTATTACTTACCAATGCGTCGCTTCTGGTGGCTCCCTCCCCCTTTGTTTATCTTCCGATATCAGTCTGATGTTCCCACTCCACTTTACCTGTCCACTGGCATCTTCTACCACTGTAGAGATCCAGAGGTGTATAATTCTAATCTCAGGCTGATTTCATGGATGATTGGAGTTCTTTGGAGTTCTTTTGATAATCAACTCACTTTAGGGGACCGGTTGAAAAAGTGCCAACTACTTCTCCACCATTTGTCCCCCACCCCCCCGCCCACATCCCTCCCCTTCCCCTGCTCGAACTAACATTTGATTCAAAGACACACGCCTTTTGTCAACTATATATGCAGAAACTGAAGGCAATTGCCATGGAGTGGTCTCAAGGAAACAACCCTGGGGAGAAATCGTCCTTCAGCATCTCTTCCTTCAGAAGAGAGACGTACTCTCAGAAGTTTGTCTGAGGCTTAGCTGGAGGGACCTAGTGCCTAGGGAGGGTTGTACTTGAACGACTATGTGGTCTCACCAGGATAGAGGTGTTGTCAAGGCTTCAATGTGGAAGTGTAAGAAAAGCACCCTAGCAGTGTCTCTGAGTGAGAAACAACACAAGAGCAAATGCAATTTCAGTGCACCTCTTCCCTCCTGGACTTGGATGCATGTCCACATGTCTGGGTGTACAAGTGTAAAGATCTGTGAGGTGGACTTACCGCTGAGCAACAAGTCGGAGTGGAGTGTGCCTTCCACTAACAGGTTGTTTACTGAAGCTCAAAGGGATTCCATACATAGGTGTCGAAGCCCAAGCCACACAGTGTATATTTCACTCTAAGAAACAGCTCTGGAGGAAAAGAAAATGAAACAAAATGATCCCATGCACCTCTTCTTTCCTGAGGACGGACACCCTTGGCAGAGCTTGTGTGATAGCAGAGGGAAAGCACAGTGTCCCTCCACTTGGTGAGGCATCCTTGTCGTGAAACCATCCTTCCACTAATATCGTTCAGGAACACGGGAGTGTTCCCCAATTTTGTGTGTGACAGCCCAAGGAATGTGCCCTAGCCTTGACTCTGAGAAACAAGTTCATGTAGAATAGAACTTTCCACAGCATCGTGTAATATCAAGAAAGAGGTGTTTTCCAACATAGGTGAGGAAGCATAACTATGGGACATTCACTTAACTATAAGGAGCAAGACGGTAGTGGAAACCGGGTTCCGACTATCGTCATTGTTGCTGAGGACAGAAGCATTCTCCAATGTCTGTGTGAAGAAAGTAACGTACACACAAGTCTGAGGGAGAATGATGTTTGTTTGGCATGTATCGTTCTGCACCCATCCCAGTTCATAAAGAAAGATAGGTTAGAAGTTGTGTGTGTGTGCGTGTGTGTGTTTGTGTGTGTCTATATAAAGTCTGAGTGTCCTCCACTTAGCTCTAAGAACATTGTAGGGAAACAGTCATCCAACCAGCATCTCCTCTCCAGAAGCTAGAAACCTTATTCAAAATGGTTGTGAATGTTTAGGGAACTGGCCCTACACCTAAGCCTGAGGCAGGCGCCTGTACAGTAGAAGGCATCTATCTTCTCAGAGAAGGCACAGAGCAAGGTGGGGCCACAAGACACTGATCAATCCTCCAGACATACATGTGTCACTCATTCCCAGGGTGGGGTTTGTTGCGAAAATTCGGAGGAAATCCCAACCCTGCTCCCCCCACAGTGGGCCTAGCCTACACCAGAGCTCAAAACCTCATCCTGGCCTCACGCCAAAGCTACCCTGTGCTCTGGCCTCAGGGCTGGTCTGCACTCTGCCCTCATACAGAATCCTACTGTCCCCCGGCTTGTAACCTTCACCCTAGCCCTGACTATGGGACAAACTGTGCCCGAACCCTTGTTCCGAGGGTGGAATGGATTTGGCTCAAAGGCTGACAATTGATGACTCAGTGATGAGCCCAGAAGATACCCATGCCAATGGCGATCCCCGGTGTTCCTGGAGAGAGTGTGGTGAGCCACAAACCCGAAAGTCAGGATACTCTGAGCATTCCCCTGAGGCCCAAGCCAAAGGCTGAGCCTCATGCAAATGCTGGCCAGCCACTCAGCCCTCAAGATAGGGTTCCATGCTGCCATCAGCTTGGCCCCGAACGTCCTCAGGACTGTAAGCCAAACCCTAGCCCTCGCGATGGGTCTCACCAATAGCGCCCATTCCTTGTTGGGCTACAATACGTTTTGGACACCAGGGCCATGCCATGCTCAAAGAAAGAAGCAAGAGCAAGGCAGGTGGCTACGCAACTTGCAACCACTGGGGATGCTGCTGAAGATGAAGATTCCAGGGAGAACCCAGAAGCGCAGGAACACCAGGGACATCTCCCTGAGGCCAAATGTTTTTCTAGGTGCTCTCTCTTGGCCACTGGGGTACATCTTTGCACCGCCCTGCAAAGGCGTGTTTCAGGGAGATAGAGTCGTTTCACTCAGGGGCCTGGAAGCCGATCAAGCCAGCGGGGCCCTGACCTCAAAGAAACACCATTCTCTGGGAAAAGCCTCATCCCCAGAACGACGTCCGTGAAGAGAAGGAAGAGGAGTGAGCAATCGGCCCGCTGACTGTCGGGGGCGCGCCCAGGCTGAGGGGCCTGACTGTCCCACGCCAGCGCCTTGCACCATCAAGGGGAAAGCAGTTGTCTGAGGGGATGTGTGAGGACACCTGAGGTGAAGTCCCTCTGCCACCCTGTGAGGAAGAAGTCTGTGGGGAAGCGAGCCCGGTCCCCCGCACAACCTCGCTCCACGGAGGATGCATTCTCAAACCTTAGCCTGGAGAACTCAAGAGAGAGGCACGGCCTTACCTCGCAGAAGCAGGCCTGAAGTCGGGCTGCCTTTCACCAGCAGGGCTCCTTTGCAAAGAGGGAAGGCTTCACCCTGGTGAGTCGGTGCGGACGTCTCAGGAAGCTTCCCAGCCCTCGGCGTCAGAGGTCATCAGAGAGGGCGCCCATCACTTGCCCTCACAGAAGCCCCACCCAGGATATCGAACCCGGCTCCTGCTGCCACCACGACCACCTGAGCCACACTGCAACACAAAGTCCAGTTCTGAGGGCACGGGAGGGCTTCTGAAAGTAGCCCCGCTTCTCTAAGCATGATGCTCGCAGTCGGTGTGCCCCCACCGGAGCAAGTGTTTGGAAAGTTCCCGTGCCGCACACCCCTTCATGGAGAGGACGCAATTGCGAGCCCCTCCGTCAGGCCAACATCTTGGAAGCACCCTGAGCAGAGCGGCCTGCCAGAAAAGGTCGGTGGCAGCGCGACCACTGCGCCATAGGATTACAACAGAGCAGGGCCTTTGCACCGCAAGCCACACTCAGGCCCGTGAAGAGAGAAGCAGTTCTGACACCTAGAAGCATCGATCGAGGAGAGAACCCCTCAGCTCTACGAATGAGCTATACGGAGGGGACCCTGTGGGTTCCTGTTTCCCCCAAAGCCAAAAGCCTTCTCTCAGACCCCGGTGCTGGGACAAACATTCTCAGGGCTTTGGACTCCGCGCCAGGATCCACGGGGGTGCCGCCAGCACCCCTGGTATGACGGCATGTTTCAGGGAGACAGAGTCGTTTCACCCAGGGGCCTGGAAGCTGATGGAGCCAGCGGGGCCCTGACCTCAAAGAAACACCATTCACGGGGAAAAGGCTCCTTCTGGGAACGATGTCTGGGAAGAGAGAAGCGTGGAGGAGTGAGCAATCGGCCCGCTGACTGTCAGGGGAGCGCCCAGGCTGAGGGGCCTGCCTGTCCCACGCCAGCGCCTTGCGCCATCAAGGGGGAAACAGTTGTCTGAGGGGATGTGTGAGGACGCCTGAGGTGAAGTCCATCTGCCTCCCTGTGAGGAAAAAGTCCATGGGGAAGGCGAGCGGCATCCCCCGCACAACCTTGCTCCATGGAGAAGGATGCCTTCTCAAACTTTTGCAGGGAGAACTCAAGAGAGAAGCACGGCCTTACCTCACAGAAGCAGGCCTAATTCGAGCTGCCTTTCACCAGCAGGGATCCTTAGCAATGAGGGAAGGCTTCACCCCGGTGAGTCGGTGCAGACGCCTCAGGAAGGTTCCTGGCCCTCGGTGTCACAGGTCATTGGAGAAGGCGCCCGTCACTCGGCCTCACAGAAGCCCCATACAGGGCGTCGAACCCGGCTCCTGCTGCCACCACGACCACCCGAGCCATACCGCAACACAAAGTCCAGTTCTGAGGATGTGGGAGGGCTTCTGAAAGCAGTCGTGCTTCTCTCAGCCTGATGCTCTCAGTCGGTGTGCCCCCACCAGAGCAAGCGTTTGGAAAGTACCTGTGCCGCACACCTGTCTCATGGAGAGGAGGCGACTGGGAGCCCCTCCGTCAGGCCAACATCTTGGAAGCGCCCTGAGCAGAGCGGCCTGCCTGAAACTGTTTTTGGCAGTTCGATCACGGTGCCACAGGATTACGTCAGGACAGGGCCTTTGCACTGCAAGCCACACTCAAGCCCGTGAAGAGAGAAGCAGTTCTGACACCTAGAAGCATCGATCGAGGAGAGAACCCCTCAGCTCCATGAACGAGCTAAACGGAGGGGACCCTGTCGGTTCCTGTTTTCCCCAAAGTCAAAAGCCTTCTCTTACACCCTGGCGCACGGACACACATCCTCAGGGCTTTGGCCTCCACACCAGGACCCACTGGATTGCCACGGGATAGCTTCAGGACGACGCATTTGCCCGACAAGCCCACTCTGTCCTGTGACTATAGAAGCGGTGGTGACACCTAGATGCACAGAGCACGGCGCCATCCCCTCAACTCCTCAAACGAGTTGAAGGCAGGGGGCCCTGTCAGCTCCGCATTCCCCTAAAGCCCAAAGCCTTCTCTCAGATGTGGATGAAAGTGCACAAACCCTGCCAGCTTGGGCTTCTACCTCAGGGACCTCTGGGTGCCCTCATCACCTGCTGGGCGACAGCGGGCTTCAGGGAGACATAGTCGTACCACGCAGGGGCCTGGAAGCCGAGCGAGACAGTGCAGTCCTGAATCCAAAGCAACACCGTTCTAACGGAAAAAAGGCCTCTCCCCGAGCAACCTGCGCGATGAGAGAAGCGTAGATGAGAGAGGAAGTGGCCCGCTTCCTGAGACAGGAGCGTGGGGTCTGTGGCCCTGGCCTCTCCCGGGGCAGGCCCTCGCCTCGTACACCAGGGAGGTGGTTTGCTGACCCAGAGTGTGTGGGAACGTCTGAGGTCAAGGCCCTCGACCTCCCTGTGAGAAACAAGTCAGGGTGGAATGCCAACACCGTCTTTGCACACATCGCTCCACGGAGAAGGATGCCTTCGCAAAGCTTAGCCTGATAACCTCGAGTGAGCACCACAGCCTTATCTCCGTGAAACAAGCGTGAAGATGAGCTGCCTTTCGCGTGTAGGCCTCTCCTCATACGCTGGCGAAACGGTTTGCTGAACAGGAGTGTGTGGGAACACCCGAGGTCAAGGCCCTCGACCTCCCTGTGAGAAACAAGTCAGTGTGGAATGCCAACACCGTCCCCGCAGATGTCGCTCCACAGAGAAGGATGCCTTCGCAAAGCTTAATCTGGAAACCTCGAGTGCGCACCACAGCTTTACCTCCAACAATAAGCGTGAAGCCGAGCTGACTTTCGCATGCAGGCATCTTTAGAGAAGAGAGAAAGAGTCAGCCCAGCGGGTTGGGGGTGGAAATCTAAGGAAGGCTGCCTGCAGGGCCTTGGGTCAGGGGCTGTCCAAGAAGGTGGCCCCTTCCCTCGGCCTCACGGAAGCCCCGCACAAGGGCGTCGAAGGCGTCTCCTGCTGCCACCGTGACACGGGACCCACAGCAGAACAAACACTCTAGTTCTGAGGACGCGGGCGGGCTTCTGACAGCAGCCCCGCTCCCCTCAGCCTGACACCCGACGTCGGTTGGCCACTCCGGAGCAGGCGTTAAAATAGGACTGTGCTACACACCTGGCTCGCACAGAGGACAGGACGTTGACGCTGGCCTTCATGCAGACTTCCCTGGGGGCGCCCTGAGCCGGGAGGCCTGCCCAAAAATGTGGTGTCAGAGCAGAGCCAGTGCCACGGGATTGCTTCAGGACGACGCATTTGCTGGACAAGCCCCACTCTGTCCTGTGATGAGAGAAGCGGTGGTGAAACCTAGACACAGAGAGCAGGGCGCCAACCCCTCAGCTCCTCGAACGAGTTGAAGGCAGGGGGCCCTGTCAGCTCAGCATTCCCATGAAGCCCAAAGCCTTCTCTCAGACGCGGATGAAAGTGCACACACCCTGCTGGCTTGGGCCTCCACTGCAGGGACTTGTGGGTGCCCTCAGCACCTGTGGGGCAACAATGGGCTTCAGGGAGACATGGTCGTACCACGCAGGGGCCTGGAAGCCGAACGAGAGAGTGCAGCTCTGAATCTAAAGCAACACCCTTTTAACAGAAGAAAGGGCTCACCCCCAGCGACCTGCGCGACCAGGGAAGCGTGGATGAGAGAGGAAGGGGCCCACTTCCTGAGGTGGGAGCACCGGGCCTGTGGCGCCCTCCTCTCCTGGGGCAGCGCCTCACCTCATACGCCTGGGAAGCAGTTTGCTGACCCGGAGTGTGTGGGAATGCCCGAGGTTGAGGCCCTCGACCTCCCTGTTTGAAACAAGTCAGGGTGGAATGCCAACACCGTCCCCACACATGTCGCTCTACCAGAAGGATGCCTTCGCAAAGCTTAGCCTGGAAACCTCGAGTGTGCACCACAGCCTTACCTCGGAGAAAGAAGTGTGAAGCCGAGCTGCCTTTCGCGTGCAGGCCTCTTTTGCAAAGAGAGAAAGAGTCAGCCCAGCGGGTTGGGGCGGGAGCTTTAGGAAGGCTGCCTTTCGGAACTTGTGTTGGGGACTGTCCAAAAGGAGGCCCCTTACCTCGGCGTCAAGGAAGCCCCGCACAAGGGCGTTGAAAGCGGCTCCTGCTGCCACCGTGATATGGGACCCACAGCAGAACAAACACTCTAGTTCTGAGGGCGCGGGCGGGCTTCTGACAGCAGCCTCGCTTCCCTAAGTTTGACGCCCGCTGTCGGTCGGCCTCACCTGAGGCGTTAGGAAAGCACCATGATACACACACCGCTCACTCAGAGGACGGGATGGCGACACCGGCCTTCAGGCAGACCTCTCTGGGGGCGCCCTGAGCCAGGAGGCCTGCCTGAAATGGGCGGTGGCAGCGCAGAGCCAGTGCCTCGGGATTGCTTCAGAACGACGCATTTGCCCAACAAGCCCCACACTGTCCTGTGACAAGAGAAGCGGTGGTGACACCTAGACACACAGAGCACGGCGCCAACCCCTCAACTCCTCGAACGAGTTGAAGGCAGAGGGCCCTGTCAACTCTGCATTCCCATGAAGCCCAAAGCCTTCTCTCAGACGCGGATGAAAGTGCACACACCCTGCCGGCTTGGGCCTCCACCGCAGGGACCTGTGGGAGTCTCCAGCACCTCTGGAGCGACAGTGGGCTTCAGAGAGACACGGTCCTACCACGCAGGGGCCTGGAAACCGATCGATACAGCGTGGTCCTGAATCGAAAGCAACACCGTGCTAACGGAAAAAAGGCCTCTCCCTGAGCAACGAGAGAAGCGTGGATGAGAGAGGAAGTGGCCCGCTTCCTGAGGCAGGAGCGCCGGGCCGTGGTGCCAGCCTCTCCTGGGGCAGCGCCTCGCCTCATACGCCTGGGAAGCGGTTTCCTGACCCAGAGTGTGTGGGAACACCCGAGGTCGAGGCCCTCGACCTCCCTGTGAGAAGTCAGGGTGGAATGCCAACACCGTCCTCTCACACGTCACTCCACGGAGAAGGATGCCTTCGCAAAGCTTAGCCTGGAAACCTCGACTGAGCACCACAGCCTTAACTCCAGGAAACAAGCATGAAGCCGAGCTGCCTTTCGCACCCAGGACTCTTTCGGGAAGAGAGAAAGAGTCGGCCCAGCGGGTTGGTGTGGAAGCCTAAGGAAGGCTGCTTGCTCGGCCTCGGGTCGGGGGCCGTTTGAGAAGGCGGCCCCTTCTCTCGGCCACACAGAAGCCCAGCAAAAGGGTGTCGAAAGCGGCTTCTGCTGCCATCGTGAAACGAGACCCACGGCAGAACAAACACTCTAGTTCTGAGGGCGCGGCGGGGGGCTTCTGACAGCAGCCCTGCTTCTCTCAGCCAGAGGCCCGCCGTTGGTCGGCCCCACAGGAGCAGGTGTTAGGAAAGCACCATGCTGCACACCTGGCTCGTCCTGGGGACGGGACGGCGACGCCGGCCTTCAGGCAGACCTCTCTGTGGGCGCCCTGAGCCGGGAGGACCCCCCGAAACGGGCGTTGGCAGTGCAGAGCAAGTGCCACAGGATTGCTTCAGGATGACGCATTTGCCAGACAAGCCCCACTCTGTCCTGTGACAACAGCAGCGGAGGTGACACCTAGACACACAGAGCATGGCGCCAATCTCTCAGCTCTTAGAACGAGTTGAAGGCAGGTGTCCCTGTCAGCTCCGCATTCCCCTAAAGCCCAAAGCCTTCTCTCAGACACAGATGAAAGTGCACACACCCTGCCGGATTGGGCCTCCATCCCAGGGACCTGTGTGTGTCGCCAGCACATGCGGGGTGACAGTGGTCTTCAGGGAGACATGGTCATAACATGCAGGGGCATGGAAGCTGAACGAGACAGCATGGCCCTAAATCTAAAGCAACACCGTGGTAATGGAAAAAAGGCTTCCCCTCGAGTGACCTGCGTGATGAGAGAAGCGTGGATGAGAGAGGAAGCGGCCTGCTCCCTGAGGTGGGAGTGTCGGGCCTTTGGAGCCGGCCTATCCAGGGGCAGCGCCTCGCCTCGAACACCGGGGAAGCAGTTTGCTGAACAGGAGTGTGTGGGAACGCCTGAGGTCGAGGCCCTCCACCTCCCTGTGAGAAACAAGTCAGGGTTAGTAGAGCACCGTGCTGCACACCCGGCTCATGGAGAGGACAGGACGGCGACGCCTGCCTCTCTGGGTGCGCTCTGAGCAGGGAGGCCTGCCTGGAATGAGCGGCGGAAGTGCAGAGCCACTACCACGGGAGGGCTTCAGGAGAATGTATTGGCACAGCAAGCCCCACTCCGTCCCGTGAAGAGAGAAGCGGTGGTTACACCTAGAAGCACAGAGCAGGGCGCCAATCCCTCAGCTCCTTGAAGAAGCTTAACCTGCAGAAGGAGGTGGGAGGGGAGAGGAAGAGAGGGGACTGACAAAACACACACACACACACACACACACACACACACACACACGCACATGCACACACAGAGACAGACACAGGGCAGATAGGAAAGAGGGGAGGAGCAGTGACCCAGGGATACAGTGAGGCCATTTAGATCCTGCCCTTCCTCCTGGCTGCATGTTAGGTCCCCAGTAGGCAGGTCACCCCCACTGTGTCCTAGTCAGTCTCTTCCTCATCTGCATAGCAGTTTGGTGGGACCCTGTTCCTGTTTGCATGAGTGGGTGACATCTACCATCCCCTGTGTCCAGGGCTGGCCTAGTACCAGAGCTTTCATCTGCTCAGAGCTCAACCCACACCAGGGCCACACAGAGAAACTTCAAGCAATGACAGCTCCCAAGGCCACAGACATGTTGCTGGGGGCTCAGGAGGCTGAAAACCTGGCCTGGGAAGAGAATTTCTTTCCCTGGCGGTTTGCTCTGAAAACGATTCCCCCCATGCCAGGAGCCAGCTCTTTTCTTGGATAGTCTGTGGCCATGGAGTAGCAGGACGACCCCCACCCCATATGGGAAGCCTGAGAGGTAGTTTCTGAAATCCTGAACTGTAATCCCATCGGTAATAGTCCAACAGTTTGCTTTGACCAAAGATCCTCTGTATTTGAACATGCTTTCCAATTGTTCAGTAATGGGAGTTCCAACATAACATGGCTCACATATTTTTATATGTGGGTATAGATTTTTATCTATCTGTAGAGAAAAATGACAAAATTCTTTGTTTTTAGAGGTTATTTCTCATACCTGAAGTCATCTCTACACCCAGGGTGGGACTCAAACTCACAGCCCTGAGACCAAGCATCACACACTCCACAGAATGAGCCATCCGGGCAGCTCGTCTTTTTAGAGGTTATTTCTAAAATTCTGCTTTAAATTTTTCAAAGATTTTATTTACATATTTGTCAGAGAGAGATGGAGAGCACAGGCAGGGGGAAGGGGTTGCAGCAGAGGGAGAAGCAGATTCCCCTTTGAGCAGGGAAACCAATGTGGGCCTCCATTCCAGGACCCTGGCATCATGACCTGAGGAAAGGCAAATGCTTAACACACATAGACAAGGGTCCCAAAATTTCTGCCTTGAATTGTAAACCTGGCAATTATCAATTTATTTATTTATTATTAATTTTATTTATTATTCTTATTAATTTTAATTTTATTTTATTATTTTTATTAATTTTATTTTTAAATTAATTTATTTTATTATTTATTTTTATTAATTATTATTATTTAGTATTTATTTTATTTTATTATTTATTTATTAATTAAGGACAAGCTTAGGGAGTCTGTGACATTCACCCAGGCCTCCTGTGAGCCTGCTGTCTGGGACTGTAAATAGGAACATTTGCTGATAGAAC